TATAAGTATTCTAAAATGTGAAGAATACAACCCCGAGGGTACAAAATGACCCCAAGGCGTACGGATAGGGTTAAGTACACAGTTATGAGATGGGGTATTCGTGGCCGGGAAAGTCACTCAGCACAGAGGTCGGATCTTCATCAAGTCACTCAGCATAGAGGTCGAATCTTCATCAAATCACTCAGCACAGAGGTCGGATCTTCATCAAGTCACTCAGCACAGAGGTCGAATCTTCATCAAGTCACTCAGCACAGAGGTCGGATCTTCATCAAGTCACTCAGCACAGAAGTTGGATCTTAATCAAGTCACTCAGCACAGAGGTCGGATCTTCATCATGCTGAAGGAGACAGACCCACGACTTCCCGTTAAGGAATACCACTCCAGATTTTTGGCAGCTTCTGTGCTGGCCCACTCCCCGTTGAGATTGGCCCAGGTGCACCTATTGTACCACCAGCCCCCGGAGTGAAGTGTGGCGCAGTTGTGTCGGTGTTGGTCGTTGTCCCTGTCAGGGGTTGTGAACTCTTGACCATTGTTGTAAGCCAAGTGGTCACCAACGTTCCCCGAAAATCCGGAGACGTGAAGCTTGTAGTTGTTCTCTCCCTCTGACAAAGAGAAGCTGTCGTACATGGCGAAGTAGTCTTTGTTCTTGTACGTCATGTCGATCCTCAACTGGTATCTCCCCTGGTGATGAGAACAAAAGGGACATTGGCCTAGTGATTAGGCTACCGGACTCGTAATCGTGAGGTTGTGGGTTAGGGGGATTCGACCCGCGGGCCCGACGTTGTGTCCTTGGGAAAGACACTTTACACGAATTTCCCCCACTTCACCCAGGTGGGAATGGGTACCCAGCTATACACAGTGAAAGATCTTGTCAGTTTGTTAGTGTTTGAGCGCTAAACCAGCTACTTGGACTGCATGGTTCCCGGGAAGCTGAGAATGTTTCTGTGTATTCTGTGGTCTGCCGGGGTTAATTACAAGTATAATAATATAGTGTAAAGCGCATAGAGCTTGCTTTCGAGTGGGGATATGCATGAAACAAATGCTATTTATTATTCTTATTCTTAACATTGAAACAATTGTCTTATTAGATAGATACGTGTGGTTTCATTCTATCGCTAAGTCTCAGTTCTAAAAAAGGAGGTCTTAACACTGGCGTCACAGGTTCAAATCCGGGTCTGGTACGAATGATGTTGATTCTCCCAGAGATCTCCTGTCATCCAGGTGTCTTGGTGTGCGACCACGTCCACGGGTTGAACTGTCCTAAAGCATGTCTAATTGGGCAGTGTATTTACTAGTAAAACAAAAAGAATGTTATAATCAATAGAAAAATGTTAGTTAGAAATCCCTTTCTAAAAAAAGAGAACTACGTAAAAAGGATATTGGAATTACTAATAATGATAATAACTGTGAGTCTGTCAATGAGGAGGCTAGGGACGTGGTTGGGGTGCGGGGGGGGGGGTGTCCTTAATGGTTGTGACACAGCATGAGAGCTATAATACACAACAACAACAACAACAACAACAACAACAACAACAACAACAACAACAACAACAACAACAACAACAACAACAACTACAACAACAACAAAATACATTTTAGTGGAAACATCATAAACTAGAACCACAACGAAAAAAAACCTGCCGCTGAAACTGAAGAGGCTACTTCCAATACAATCTAAAACCCCTGTTCCTTACCACTACCACCACCACAACAACCGCTACTACCACTACCACTACCACCACCACCACCACTACCACTACCACCACCACCACCACTACTACCACTACTACTACCACTACTTCCACCACCACCATTATCAATGCCACTACCACTACCACTTTCACTACCCCTTCCACTGCTTCTTCTATGACTACTACTACTATCTCTCCCATTACCACTTCTACCATTATCACAACTACCACAACCTCTACCACAATCATTACAACTGACACTGCCGTCTATACCATTACTACCTCTACCACTACCACACATACCACTGCTACCACTTCTATAAACTACAAGGTATGGGTGCAGCGCTTGCTCTAGATATTTTGAGGATTAAAAACTGGTAAAATCCAAAAGCTCCAGTTAACTTCTGTTTCTGGTATCTGGAGCAAGTTTTGTTGTAGTAAGAGTTCTACCGCACTTGCAACACAGTAAAGTCATATAAGTGCCGAAGATTTGAGGTGTTACGAGAGAGAAACACACAAAAAAGGAGGGTAAATCAGGACGAAAGATGTTTGATAGGAAAGAAGGAGCAAACCTCACCAGAGCACCCGCCAACCACCCGCTGAAGCAAGTGGGTTTCGTGGAAAGCATTATAAACATAATCATGGTAGTAAGACTACCGTATTTATCACTATTACCATAGTAAGTGAGGGCGTGGTGGCGGGCGGTTAGTGCGCTCGTCTCCAAAGCGGAAAATCCGGGTTCTAGCCTCCGTTCGCTAACGGATTTTTTTCGCCCCCTCCTGCTCACCCAGCAGTAATGGATACCTGACTTCGAGTTGGGGAAGTAAAGGCGGCGTGGAAAGGAACTGGCCACCCTACCACAATATGTCGAAGACCCAGGAAGTTATCTCACTAACAAGGCAATCCCCAATGTCCGGATCGGATGCGGGAACAACTTTACTTTACTTTTACCATAGTAAGTAGTAATGCCACTAAGCATTCCAAACCCCACGAATATCTTGAGGGGCAAGAGCAACAATGGCATCGACATCGACAACAGCAGACAGAACTGTCATGTAGTTGGGCAATATACATTGGAGTTGAGTTATAAACAGCTTGCCGCACCCAACACAACACAAAAACAACACACAACACACAAACAACACACAACACACAAACAACACACCATCAGCTCGCTGACACACAGTAGATTGTCGTCCACACAAGGTGCCCACATCCCTCGTAACTCATTGGAGCAGATAGGATAGCAGATAGATAGCAGATATATAGCAGATAGGTAGCAGATAAGAGGGAGATAGGACTAACGCTAACATTACTTAAACGCAATCCCTCATCATTACTCATCACCACCGTTATTTCTGAAATCATCAATCATTGCTCTCAGATCAATAACTTACATCTATAATCCTGGAATCTCTACCTGCTATTACAGTTATGTACTTGTAATACGAAGTATGCAAGTTATACACTATTGGACACTTTAACTATCGTACGCACTTTTTTCTACTAATCAGATGGTTGATAGGGGCGTTAAACCCTTACCATTTCACCATTTCACTAATCAGAGGGCGTCAATCTCATATAAATGGGCAAAGGATTAAAAAAAAAAGATTAATTAAAAAAATAGACAACTTGCCAGTCTTGTCAGTCGGTGGACTTTCTCCAAGCCAAACCAGAAGTTGTCAGGAGGGTATCCGAACCCGTTCCTGTAGTCTTCCCATTTTCTTCGGAAGTCCAGGCCGCCCACGGGCCGTCTCTGGAGACACAACGGAACAGTACACCGGTCTGTTGGTTTGTTTGTTTGTTGTAGTAGAGGTTTTTACGGCGCTTGCGACTGCATAAGGTCACCACATGAGCGCCAGTCACCGGTTTGTGAGCCTTGGGTTGTTTTTTTTTGGGGGGGGGTTACTTTTTAGGGGTTGTTTTTTTTGGTGAGTGTTTTATGGCGCTTGCAACTGCATAAGGTCATATGAGCGCGTGGCCTGTTATCATGAATCATGCTACAGAGCATTGCAAGAATACCCAAGGTCATCTGAGGATCACTCTCATTTTGGAACAGAAATGATTGAATTTCTACTGATTTAGAACCTGAGGCTTTAGCAATTGTTCTTATTAAGTACTTTAACAACTTTTAAAGTAATGAGCCTTTTTGTGTAAATTCACCTGCAAAATTCCATAAAAGTGCTTTATGTTACACAATTCCATTGTGTTGTGGAAGTTTTCCCCACACTCTGTCAGGGTAGTTTATTCAATAATATCTTTTTAAAAAAAAATTGCATACTTTAAAAAAAAAGTTACAACCATGTCGCATTGTCCATCTAAATACCGTGATCTCCCTTGAGAGTACTCTGTGCAAGAATCTTGTGCGCCAAAGAGCTCAATTTTGTTTTGTGTTACTGAAGTTTCCTCTACACTTTGCGTGCTTAAACCTATATCCGTACGCCCTGGGGTCATTTTGTACCCCGGGATTGTATTCTTCACATTTTAGAATACTTGTAGTACGAAGATCTCTTTGAAACTTTGAGTATTTTCTCAAAAAATCATTTCGACAGATTGCTATGCAAACCGTACGGATCGGATTAACGAGTACATTTCCTCTTTGCAAAGTGGTGGCACAGAGTTCCTCACGTCGCATGGATACGATAGTAAAACACGACGTACCGATAAGGTTAAGCCCAGATATCCAAAAACGCAGAAACGACCGGATTTTTTTGTCAGAAGAGGCAATTCGGTCTGTTCGATTCCGGCATACGTGAACGGGTCAAAAGTGAAGGAACGCACGTTGAGAATGTCTGAGCATGAATTCTTATTTGTTAAAATTAGTAAATTGTTAAAAATATGCATTTAAATCGATGGTTAACACGCTGATGTTGACAATTTTAAAGCGCTGATTATGAATACATGTATGACATTAGATTTTTCATCGGAACTTAACGTTATACTTGTAGAATTTTCGTAATTTTGGCTGGGCCTGTAGGTGATGAGTTGCCCCATGGCCCGGCAAAAATGCCAACTGACACTTTGTCGGTAGGAGTGGTACAGTTTTGGTGGACATATTTATACAGAATTCTCACTGACTGCTGCTCTATTTCCGCTACCGACTTCCTGAGAAAAACGACATTTGGTCAAACGGTTTCTGATTAAGTGCACACCCAGGCTAGGAACCCGTTCGAGAAATAAAAATCCGCTTAAGAACCTGGTTGAACTAGGGACAATGGAAAGCGTTCTGCTTTACAACACAAAACCGTGGCTGGTAGCGCCTGGCTATTTTTACTGAAAGAGAAAAAAACAATTAGGGGGTCTCTCGTGGCCTAGAGGTTACGGTGTCGGCCTTTCATTCAAAGGTCACGAGTTCGAATCCAGGTAGCGACCGAAACAAATTTCTTCTCTAAAATTGTTTCCTTTCACATCCTTTCCTGTCCTCTAACAATGTTCTGTCGTCTGCTTTCGTCTCCTCTTTCTGCCCCCACCCCAACACCTCCTTTGCCCCCTCCTCTGGGCTCCTGACTCTTTCTGCAGCCTTTCTACTGCTACTTCTTGGCTCCTTCTTACTGCTCTCTCTCTCTCAGCCACACCCCTGATCTTCTGGTAGGAAAGATCTACATCAAGCCTTCTCGGACAAGGGCGAAAAATCTTGGAGGTCCAGTGTGCAAGCTACGCACATTAAAGATCCCTTGGTGGTTCAAAATCGATAATATTATATAAGAGTAGGCTTCGGCCGCCACCCGGGCAAAATTCGAAATGTCCTACCAACTGAAAAAGTTTAATGTGTCCCGCGCGCTCATATGACCGTATGCAGTTGCGAGTGCCGTAAAACACTTACCCCCCAAAAAAAAACAAGAAACAATCAGTGGAAGGAGGAGTTCGGGAAAAGGAAGCGAGGGTGGAGTGGACAAGTCGGACGAAGAAAGAAAAAAATCTTCACACTGCACTCTGCATGCACACTTACAAAGATCGTTTTTTTGGCAACTGCTATGCAAGTCCTGCCGAACACGTCAATCGCTTAGTGGTTTTCAATTGTTTCAATGTCCTGTTCCTCTCCGATGTGGTCGAAACGTCTAACTCTGTCCCCGTCACTGGTCATTCTAAAGCTGTCTAAAGCTGTCTACGCCACTGGTCATTCTAAAGCTGTCTAAAGCTGTCCACGTCCCTGGTCATTTTAAAGCTGTCTACGTTACTGGTCGTTCTAAAGCTGTCCACGTCACTGGCCATTCTAAAGCTGTCTAAAGCTGTCTACGCCACTGGTCGTTCTAAAGCTGTCTACGTCACTGGTCATTCTAAAGCTGTCCACGTCACTGGTCATTCTAAAGCTGTCTACGTTACTGGTCGTTCTAAAGCTGTCTAAAGCTGTCCACGTCACTGGTCATTCTAGAGCTGTCTAAAGCTGTCTACGCCACTGGTCGTTCTAAAGCTGTCTACGTCACTGGTCATTCTAAAGCTGTCCACGTCACGGGTCATTCTAACGCTGTCCACCCCACCGGTCATTCTAAAGCTGTCCATGTCACTGGTCATTCTAAAGCTGTCCACGTCACTGGTCATTCTAAAGCTGATTACGTCACTTGTCTTTCTTTTGTTTCAATGAAGCAGAAACGGGGTCTGTTTCCTGTAACTTGTTCACTTTCGCCTGACCGCCGTAAAAACTAGATAAAATCAGATCACTCTGTTTATGATAATACATGTAATAATAATGGAAATAACCATGACAATGACAAAGACAATCTTTATTCACCTCTCAGGGAGACATTTGTCTTGGTGGATTACAATGGCTGTAGACGTTACAAAGGTTAGGCGCACTCCTCACGCACACACACAACAAAACAGGACATTAGTAATACATGTTTTACGAGCTGAAACAACCTGCTGCGTAAAACGTTTACTCTGTCTCTCTCTCTCTCTCTCTCTCTCTCTCTCTCTCTCTCTCTCTCTCTCTTTTCTCTCTCTCTCTCACTCTCTTTTTTTTTCTCTCCCCCCCCTCTCTCTCTCTCTCTCTCTCTCTCTCTCTCTCTCTCTCTCTCTCTCTCTGTTTCATTTGTAGCACTGTGTTCAGTAACCTCACTGCAGTTGGTACGAATGAATTTCTAAGTCTGTTTTTAACTTTTTAGTAACAATATATCGTTTACTGCAGGCCGATTATTGAAATTACGATGTCAGCGGGTGGCTATGGTCACTTAGCATTATTTCCTCCTTTTTTAGAACGTGTTCAAGTATTCAAAGCGTTTTTAGGTCTCTGCCAATTGTTATTGATGCCTTTCTTATCAACTTGTTTATTTGTATGATGTGCTGTCTTCCCAAGTTGCTACCTTAGCAAGTGATACCAACATTGATCAAAGTTTCTATTGTGGTGGTGTAGGATATCTGAAGGATGGGTGGATTCAGATTGAAGGACATATGTTTCCTTTGAAAGTATAGCCTCTGATGTTCCTTTTTAGCGATATTGTTTACGTGCTTTTGCCATGGAAATTTATTGTCAATTGTAAGACCAAGATATTTGTATGAATCATTGATTTCAATTGTTCCTTGTTCAATGACGTTTAGAAGCTGTAGATATAGTACTGACAGGACAGGTGTTTCTAGCAAAGGGCAGGAAAGTATGCCTTAGACTGACAAGCGCCTGCAATGGAGGAGAGACGCTAGGTAAACTAGTGGGTAGATCTCACCTGTATTGTATCAGTCTGTATTACCGTAAAATATTGTTGGTCTCACCTGTATTGCACCAGTTTATATAACTGTAAAATATTGTTGATCTAACCTGTCTTGCGTCAGTTTGTATTACCGTAAAATATTGTTGGTCTCACCTGGTTTGTATTAGCCTGTATTACAATAAAGCAATATTGATCCAATTTGTGCTGTAGCAGCCGGTATTGCCGAAAATCTATAAAGCAATGTTGAACTCTCTTATATTTACCGTAAAATAGTGTGTGGGTAGTTGGAGGGTGCTCTGGTGTGGTTTGCCCCTTCTTTCCTACCGAACATCTATCATCCTTATCTCCCCTTCTTCTTTCTTATGTTTGTTACTCTCTAAACATCTCTAATCTTCTGTCGCTCATATGACCTTATGCAGTTGCGAGCGCCGTAAAACCTCTACTAAAACTAAAACTAAAATAGTGTTGATCTCGTCTGTATTGACTTAACCTGTATGACAATAAAGCAATGTAGATCTCACCAGTATTGTGTCAACCTGTATAACAATAAAGCGATGTAGATCGCACCAGTATTGTGTCAGCCTGTATAACAATAAAGCAATGTGGATCTCACCTGTATTGTGTCAACCTGTATAACAATAAAGCAATGTGGATCTCACCTGTATTGTGTTAACCTGTATTGTGTCAACCTGTATTGTGTCAACCTGTGTAACAATAAAGCAATGTAGATCTCACCTGTATAGTGTCCACCTGTATTTCCGTGAAGTAATGTGGATCTCACCTGTATCACGATCCATCCCTTATCGCAGACGACATCCATGTCGTTATAGAGACGCACATACGATGGGCGGGACAAGTACCGGACATCAGCACAAGAGTGCCGCTAGAGAAGGGAGAGAAATCCACAGAGAAACAGTTGGACGGACGTCTGTGGGAAATGACTCCTTTTGGGGTGGGGGGAGGGGGGGTTAAGTATTTTACGGCGCTCGCAATTGCTTAAGGTCATATGAGCGCGCGGGACACATTAAACTTTTTCAGTTGGCTTGAAATTTTGAATTTTGCCCTGGTGGCGGCCGAAGCCTACTCTTATCGATTTTAGACCACCAAGGGATCTTTAACGTGCGCAACTTGCACTTCGAGGTTTTTCGCCCTTGTCCGAGAAAGCTAGGTTTCGATCTTTCAGGAGCCCAGAGGAGGGGGCAAAGGAGGTGAGGGGGTGGGGGCAGAAAGTGGAGACGAAAGCAGAACGTTGCTAGAGAGCAGGAAATGAGGTGAAAAGAGACTATTTTAGAGAAGAAAATGTTTCGGTCGCTACCTGGATTCGAACCCGGGACATTTGAATAAGAGACGAACACCTAAGCCTCTAGGCCACGAGAGCCCCTTGAAATGACTCTAATCTTTTGTCCATCAAATCAGGGCAGGTGGTTGGAGGGGGCCCCTGGTAGGTCCTACGTCTTTACTTGTCCTCTGTTGTTTCTGTCTGCATGTCTGTCTTACATTTTTGTCAGCATTAAATGGCAATTTTTGTGTCGATGTGCTTCACTTTACTTAAACAAACGAACAAACCAAATTAGTTGTAACTAATTTTTTTAATCAAATAGTATTCCCAAATACAATTACCACAACCAATACTATAATATGAAAAACGAACCCCCTGCACTCCACTGGAAGCAATTTTGATAAATTATGTTTAGTTTTAGTGTGAGTTTTACGGCGCTCGCAACTGCATAAGGTTATATGAGCGCCAGAAGATTAGAGGTGTTACAAGAGAGGAACAAAGATAAAAAAGAAGGAGGGGGGAGAAAAGGACGATAGATGTTTGATAGAAAAGAAGGAGCAAACCACACCAGAGCACCCGTCAACCACCCACTGATAGATTATGAGAAAGATGTTACGTTTGCTTTTCCTTCTTTTTCTGGAAACTACGAACATAAGCGCACAGAGTCGTGCATCGATGTCATCATCCTGTAATATGAGTGCAATTTTCAAAAAGCTACCTTTTGTCGAATAAAACTGTTAGTTCATAGCTTGAATATATCTTTTCTTTTCAATGTGGTGTTTGTTTTATGCAAATAGATCATAAACAGAACCAATTATCCAGGGAAGTTTAGTGATGCTGAAAACTTGGAATGACGAAAGAAGTTGCTTAAGATGGAGAAATGGCCTTACGTTTACTAAGAGCCAAATGGGTTCAGAGCTTTGAAGGACTCCACAAAACGAATCGTCCAAGTGGGTGGTTGGCGGGTGCTCTTGTATGGTTGGCTTCTTCTTCCCTATCAAACATCTATGATCCTGATCTCTCCTTCTTTTTTGTGTTTGTTACTCTATTGTCACACCTCTAATCTTCGGTGCTTATTACATGAACTTATTGAGGTAAAACACTTACTAAAACAAATGACTCGTCTAAGAAGACCCAGTCTGGGAGTCGAACCAGGGCCACCCGCTCCGTAGTTCAGCATGATACCAAATGAACAAATGGGGCGGAGGTTATGGGTGCGTCGTGCATGTGTATACATATGGGAAATTGTGTACCGACGTGTCAACGTACGTGTCTTAAACGGCTCGTGGTGCGTGTATACGTATGCATTTGTGTGATTGTGAATGTATCTGTGTGTTAGTGCTAGGAGAGAGAGAGAGAGAGAGAGAGAGAGAGA